GCAGGAAGCCGAGACCCCATCCGAAAGGTCAACGTTCATATCGTAGAGGTTACTTCGGCTGCAGCGACTGGCGCAACGCTTGAGCTCAAAGCAGCTTGCTCCGGGATAGTACTTCGGTCTGCGGCTGCTTCTACTGCTGCTCCTGCTACTGCAGCTGGCACTGCCGCTGCCACTGCCACTGCTACCGCTACCCCTACTGCTACTACCCCCATTACTGCTACAACTATTGCATGCACTACTGCTGCTGGTGCTGCTGCTGCTCCTCCTCTTCCTGCTATTACTGTTTCTTTCTTCTTCTTCTTCTACTACTACTACTACTACTCCTGATCCTGCTGCTGCTGCTGCTGCTACTACTACTACTTCTTCTACTACTATGATTGCCTCAGCCTGCAGGTCGCACTTTTGTCACGGCCCACACCACTCAAGTCGGCATCTGGGGGCAGTCGAAAAAGGATGCCACGACATTTGTGATGGTCTGTGCGAGCACGGGGCCTGAAATGTCATCTTGCGGAGGAGCCGGAATCGTTGCAAGTTGGGTGAAGTACACAGACTCGGAGATCTTTGCATGCTTTTTGCTCTCAGACCCTTTCACATGGCACCATCGATTGCGTTGGAATTGCGAAGTAATCTGAATGAATTGCATGTGCTGCGGCCCGCGCAGGTTTAATCTGGAGAAAGCGCACATCATTCTGGACGAGATGGTACTGGATGGGTGCATAGTCGACACGAACAAGGCTGGGGAGCTTGTGGCAGAGGAGTCTGTTTCCTTTACCCTGGCTATCGCCCTAAAACTTCTGCGTCAGTATCACGTTCTGTTCATGGGTTGGTACTCTATGAACACTCACACATACGTACACACATACATGCATGCATACACTATGGCATACACAAACACACATACATATATTCAGACATGCATGCATTTTCCTACCCCACCGCCACCTGCCTGCCTGCCTGCCTGCCTGCCTACCTACCTACCTACCTGCATGTTTACATGCATACATACGTACATACATACAGACAGACAGACATACATACGCACATACACATACACACACATATATATATATGTACATACATACATACCTACGTACATACATACATAGATAGACATACATATACACATACACATACACATACCCCTATATACATACACATACACATAAACATACACAAACACGCATACGTACGTACATACGTACGTACATACATACATACATACATACATACATACAGATATATATATATATATACATACATACATTTATACACACATACACACATAGACAGACATACATACACAGGCATACATACACAGACATACATACATACATACATACATACAGTACTACATACATACATACACATGTACATGTGTACATGTATGTATGTGTATACTTACTCGCTGACATACGTACATACGCAGACATAGTCGTCGACATATAAACATGGATGTAGACACATAGACATAGACATCGGTTCAGCATCATGATGATACACCAAGACATGTAACTACATGCGTACATACACACATACATACACACAGAGAGACCCGCATGCCTGCGGCTTTCATGTGTGTGTGTGTGTTCGTATATATATATATATACATACATATATGTGTATATACACACACATCCGTACATACGTGCATGCATGTGTATGGCAAATATATTACAGGCAGACGTACATATGAATCATCCTACATGTCGTACATACTTTACGTGCACTCAGACATGCACTGACTAAGGCAAGATGCTGAGACATGACTGGACTTCCCGTGCTAACATTTCGATTGGAGACCTCGGCACTGAGCAGGTGTGTCGATAGCATCTATGTATGGAGTATGGAGCTCCTCTACAGGCAGCAATTCTCAACCCGCTCTACCTCTTGGAGAAGCACTCCAGCTGAGCTGCCAAAAGCCGCGCTGTATCGTACGTGTAGGTTCACCATCTTGGAGTTCGAGAACCCGTGCAGTGTTTTCGAGAGCGTGCTGGTGCGTAAGCATCCTCCGAATACCTCATATTCCCCAAGCAGTGCTAACATTATAGGGTCCTTGCGTTAAGTGTAAAGAGAATTGATTGCTTTCCCACGCTGCGCGTGTGGAAAAGAGGCTCCCCGCGTCCATTGTTACGGCAGATGCTGCAAATCGAGTCCTTGCGTCCTGTTATCTACACAGGATGCTCCGCGTCTCCCGTCGTGGTGCAGTGCTTGGTTTTCGCTGACATCCTATTATTTGCAGAGGATTCTGCGTGCTACGGGTGCCTCTTCAATGTGACAATATGACGTGGACCTTGGATCTTGCAAGCTAAGGGGGGGAAGTATGGTTGCTCCCAACACGAGCCAGTACTTCGGGGAAAGCACTTTTGTGCTGGTCCTTGAGCCGCCAGTACTTGCGGGAAAGCACATTTGCAGTGTCCTGCTGGTCTTCTGTTCGTCTCCCTGGTTGCCCACGTTTGGGGATCTTCGCTCAGAATTGGTTTGGCAAGTTTCCGGCTCCGGATCCTCACCATTCGTTCGTCTAGCTTGAACTCCAAACCGTCTGAATCCGGACGCCAGTGCAGTCAAGCGAGAGCAGGCAGCCGACAAAAAGCAGAAGGTCACGTCAGAAACGAAGCGAGCATCTCTGGACCCGGTGGTCTTCAAGTCAAGGCTTCCTGCCGAGATCCCAAACCCTGTGACAGCATGTGGCAGCAGCCTTCGTGCAGGTTTTGCTCTGGGTCTGGGCCAGGGTGTCGAAGCTACCATCCCTGAACCGTACGTAGAGTGCGATACGCCTTAAACTTAATTTGAGCGGGTACCATCTCGAGAAGGACCAGGACAGCTGAAGTGATTGACGAAGGCATTAGGCTCCAGCTCAACTCTTTGAACGTCTAGTCCTAAGCTCTCAACCGCGACCATGGCCGAGGCGGGCTTCTAACGAGTTCAATTGGGTTGTTGAACTGCAGCAGGATCATGCGAGTCACTCTGCCTTGCAAGGCGTTTGAGGTTGAACCTCGAGCCGAAGTTCCCCTGAGCTCTGAACCTCACGCACAAGCCATGAACCGCTCAAGCCTGACATGCCAAATGCTTGCAAGCCTGCTACAACGCACCATGAAACACGTAAACGCCCGTCCGCAAACACCAAACAAAAGCCCGAATTCCTTAAGCCTCCAGCCCAAACTCTAATCCTGGCCAAACACACTCGTTTGTGGATTTATTCTAGCTGCTGAGCTGTTCTCGGGGTTCCCCTGTTGATCTGTACCCCAAACCTTCCAGAACACACGCGGCCCACAACGACCCTGAAATGGACCCTACCGCTCCCTACCATGCTTATGCTCGGTGGAACCCGTTGGTACAACTCTTGCAAAGACGTTCATAAGCCAGTCTCCGCAGCTCCTCTTGTTCGGGCTTGGACTTCCATCTTTCGATGTTTGGGCTTCGGGTCGCAGGATGTCGTGTCTGAAGTTCCCCAAGACCAACATTCTCCGAAGGTTGCTGCTGATGTTGCTACGGTTCGGGCTGTGCTGCCAGAGTTCGAGTAGCTTGGCAGCGCACAGGAATCTTGGGTTGAGGGGAGTGCAGCAGTGGGAGCGGAGCCACTGTGTGAACAAAGCTGGCTGCATTTGCAGTCCTCCCGCTCATGCATGTCGGGAAGATTCAACAGCGATTCGTGATGTCTCGGTGCAGTTCAATGCGGGAGATCTGTATTTACTACCTACGACACTTGCCGCCCAAGCCGGCATTTGCTGTCCCACATCTTGCACCTTGCTTGCTGAGAGAATCCCTGAAGCCCAACGACCCCATTGTTTACCGCATCCTTTTGCATCCTGCAAGGGCAGCAAGACTTGTCCCGACTTCTGGAGACTGCATGGGCTCCTTAACCCGTCAGCCATCTCGGATTTGGTTTTCGCCACCCATCGTCTCCAGGCGTTCCTTTCGGGGAACCAGGGGAACCAGTCTTCGGGCTTTTGGCAACCAATCCCTCTTTGAACGATTTTAGTGCCTCTATTTAGGGCTTTGCCAACCAGCCATTCTTTCTGGGGAGTTGGGATTTGCTCCATCTCCTTTATGATCTTTGGTTTGTTGCAGAGGCTCCACCCATCAGCCGTGCTGGACTTGCTTCTCTTGGCAACCGGTCGCTCCTTTAAGGGTTCAGGATTTTGGGAACCTTAAGACCTGACACCACTAGTCACTAGCCAAATTCAGGACAGATGCCAATGAGAAATGATAATGCACAGTCTGCACCAATCCACACCCAGCAGAGCAGCACATCTAGCTGTGGAGAGGATAGCTGCCAGCATGTGCTGGCTGGCCGGGCGGATTGCCGGACCAACCCGGTAAAACCCGATGTTGCCCTCAAGACGGCGTCGCGGTGTCGTGAGCCAAACAGTCAAGGACATCGCGGGAACCAGATCCAAATCGTACGGCTCTTTCTGGAAGGCTGTGAAGTTGCCGAGATGCCCATCTGGCGCCGTACCTTTGCACATCACATGTCAGAAAGTCTACGAGCAACTTGTGCACCTGCTGAAAGCCAGTGTCTTGCTCGGACCTGAGACCACAGGCCCAGCATGAGAACGAACACAGCGGCTTGGGTCATGCGACGATCGATGTGCTGTAACGTGACACATGCTAGGCGTATTTATATGGTCCTGAAAGAGGGGCCGCGCATGGCTCCCCTAGATGCCAAAATTGCCACCCCACACGTGGTTTTGCATGGGGCAGGGAGGACAGGAGCCTCGTCAAGGCACGGAAAGGAGATGGCCAATAACTCACATTGCCTCAGGTCTCCTGCCGATGGCCGAGTGCCTCAAGTGCGAACTGTCGTTCAAGCGGGGTAACGCCTTCAAGCAAAGGATGCACGGAAAAATGTAAAACAGTGAGCTCTCCAAGAGCATGTGACCGACAAAGTGCTGCTGAACAGCCCGCAAGAGTCCCGTCACGACGCACTCAGCACCGTACAAAATGCCGGCCACTGCCATCATGCCCCTCCCCCGCAAAATGGGCATCCTGTCGTTCTGAAGGTATTCAGCGGCCCTGGACGAAGCGGCGCATTCCGCCGAGTTGAGGCATCTTGATCTGCATGTTTGCCTTCACTCCGTCATCTTCCACCTCATGTCCTGAGAAGCATCTTGATGCCGAAATTCTGAATGCAATTCTCGCAGCCGTACTCCTGCATTGCCGAGTTGCAGTGTGCCATTTGTTCGGACCTCTATGATCCTAAGCAGAAGAAGCTTTCAAGAACGGTCCAACGGCCTCTGAGCTCCCAAATCTGGGGTATTCATCTGAACAGGACCAGGTTTTAAAAAATATATGATGGTTTATGCCATCGCTTTATCCAGAGGAAAGGGGAAGCCACAATTCGCCGTGTACCCCACCCTGTCAATGCGAAAGGCCCGACACTAAAGCCTGAACCTGAGTGCTCGAATGTAGACCCGAACCCTTAAACTCCATCCCCAACCTCCCTCCGTCGCTTCATCTGAGTCCTTGTCTGTTTCTTTTTCACTCTTCAGCCAGGGCTCGCCAGCAGGAGATCTCAACCGCGAAGGTGCATAGTGCATGTTCAGGATGAGAGCTAAGGAACTTCTGTCGGGCTTACATGTTGGTGCTGAGCTGCATGAACTAAATCTATTAGCTTAGCAGCACCCATACTAGCAGTGGCGTTTCGTGTGAGATTTGGTTGGGAAGTCTGGGGGTGCAAAGGCAGGGAGGCCGGCAGCTTCCGCTGTTTTTCTTTTATACGGCAGCTCAAACTCCGAAATCATCTTGTGGAGTGTTCCGTCGACTATCGGCTTCCCCAATTCGCTTGACGTCCTTCCGGTAATCTTTGCGACATCGGTGGACACGAACAGAACACCCCTGGCCCCGATCCACGCAACCGATATCCCTGCATAAGCATGCTTTCTCCAGCCTGTGTATGCCACCTCACCGATTCAGGCAGAGCTCCAGCAGCAGCTGCAAGCAGAGAAGGCGAAGGTGGTTGCGGCAGAGGCAGCTGTGTTGGCATTCTCGGGCAGGTCAAGTCTGTGGCGTCTCGGACCACAACACGAACGCATGCCGAAAAATCATGTGCGATGGAGTCCACCTGGTGCTGATGTGCTGCAAGTGGTGTAAAAACGACAGAGATGACTTCCTGCAAGCGTGTGCAGGGTTCAGTGACTCGTCACTGGCCAGTGACATGCCGAAGGCAAACCGGTGATTACGTCAGTAAGTCCTACAGCTCAAAGCCGTGTATCCAAGCCCACAAGTCCAATGTAAGCTGAGTCCTCCAAGTCGACGCAGCCGTCCGCAGGAAGAGATCTCCCTGGCGAAAGATGCAGACAAAGCACGTGCCGACAAGCTGAATGAGAAGGCCAGACTTTGGAAGCTGGCAGTTGAGGGTGGAAGGTAAATAGGTAGGTTTGGTAGGTCGGTAGGTAGATAGACAGCAAGGTTGCCCCGACCTAGAAGCAGTTCTTCGATTGCTCTATGAACGAACCAGCGAATTATTGAATGAACAAACGAAGAACGAATGAATGAATCACCTTACATATTTGGATGAGCGGAAGGACGTTATTGTTTAATGGCCATGTCGAAACTTCATTCTAGTTGAATGCATTTGTGCATGCATGCACGCAGTCGTGATACATAACTCATGTCTGTTGCTTGCTAAACGTCTTCGGGACACCCGTTCGGGGTTCCCCGGACTCTAGTTGCTTTTTTGAGTTTGTTATTGTGCGGCCTTTGGAAATTGACGTCGAGGCGTTTCGACACGCTTCCTAGTTGTAGGTAGGACGCTCGGATGGCACATCAGTGAATCTGGTGCACTCGGCAATTCAATGAAAGTTGCTGTCACCGTGGTCGAAAAGGATTTCTTTGTGGTGTCGTGCATTCTGTGTGCCGGCATGCGATGCCCTCCCCTGCCCTTACATTTTAACTGTAGGTAATTTATGGCCTGCATTTCTGAACCAGGAAAAGCATCGTAGAAGAGTATCTCGGGCTCGTTTCGGTGAGGGCGTGTCATGGTAAACCCTCAGTACATCCGCATTACAATGGAAGCCGCTGTGTAGGATTATTGTTGTCCAAGGCACAGCTCAATGCATTGCGTGGTGTGTGGTGTTGTTGCGTATGTTGTAGATCCTAGTTTTCGCAGATTGCGTGGTGCCGTGCATCATGTCTGGTGACCTGGTGCACTTGACTGGAACGTTGTGAACCTAGATGGCACGATGCCATGTGAAATGTATATGCAATACACAAGCATCATATATGCATGCATGCCAAGCCGAATGATGTGTATCTCCAGGTGACCACGCTGATCGACAGGCAAGTGGAGCTCCAGACTGCGGAGAAAGAGTATCAGGAGGCAAGACGGCTGTTGCCAGCTGCCTGCCTGTTCGCTGACTGCACCTGAGGTGGAAGCAAGTGGCCGCTGCGAGGCCCAGACCGGCGAGGATCTGCGTGAGGCGCGGCGGCCTGGAATTCGGGATTCCGGAGAACTTCATGACAATGTGGCAGCTATTGTGATGGACAGGTTAGCTTTATAAACCTCGTCACAGAAGCTCTCCCAAGAGCTGCATGCAAATTTGTAGGAAATATTTGACGGATTCGGAGTCAAACTGCAACGACGAGGGACCAACAGGTGGTTTGCATCATGATCATGTCGGAACTTGGGAGCTACTGTGTTGGGGTTATACTGTAGGGTGTGTTGAGGGATCCAGACCTTTGGGATGCTGTGCTGCGGCCTTGGGTTGCTCCCTTGGTTAAGATCAGCTTATAGGTTTATAAATTCAGAAGTTCTCTGCCCGCTAGGTCTGACTGACATTCGATCCAGCCGAATCAGTACCGCTAAAGACTGACGTCTTCGACCTGCAGGCCATGCAGAAGCATGAGCACATCACCAAGACAGTGCCGGAATCTCAGGGAGTTGAGGTTTTGCCCCAGCAGTTTTTGGGGGTTTTCAATTCAGAAGCACCCACTTCCCCCCAAAAAAGGAACAGACTCTCGACACAGCCCTCTGATCCCCCCTTTTCCGCGACGGTCCCGATGCGTGCTAGGATTCCGGCGACTCTTTTTTCCTTGTTCACGACTCCCGCTTCCATAGTTCCGACTTGTTCTTCCTGGCCTTGGCTGGCACAACATCCACGCCCGTACTTACACGGAGCAGAAATGCCGACAGGGCTCAACACTCAGGATTAAAGCTCCGGAAGAGTTCCTGTCCTCGGTGTCTATGCCCATGCCTTCGTGCGTGTAATACCAGGCATGTAGATGGATCTGACGCGTGCATGTGTACATGTATGTATGTATGTATGTATGTATGTATGCATGCGTGCATGAATGCATTCATGCATGCATGCATGTATGTCTGTCAGCAAGAAAGGTTGTATGCACCTATGTACATCTATTTGCGGATGGATCGGTGGCTTGGTGCGAAAGTGGATGCATGGATGCATGACTTGATGGTAGCATGGAGCGATGGATGGGTGGATGGATGGAGGGACCATATGTTTGCCTGTGTATATGTATGTGTGTATGTCTGCCTGTATACAAGAATGTATGAATGATGTGGTTGTATCTGTACTTTTGTCTGTCTGTCTCTCTCTCTCTCTCTCTCTCTCTCTGGCTGCGTTCATGTTAATTACGTATCTATGTATGCATGCATGTATGTATGTGTGTGTGTGTGTGTTTATGTCTGCATGCCTGTAGATGGGTGTGTAAGTATGTCTATATATACGTGTGTATGTTTGAGAGATTTGTGTTTGTGTGTATGCGTGTGTCTCTGTGTTTCGTTGTGTGTGTGTGTGCGTCTGTCCGCCTGGCTGGCTGGCTGGCTGTTTGTGTTTCGCATGTGCTCGTTGGCATTGTCGGTTTGACTACGTCTTCACCACACACCTTCTGCCGTCGGCCGGAGGCTGTCCAAGGCCCTCTATGTCAATCTTGTTTTCATGCCTTATCTTTATTATGACACGGGCCTGAGGACGATGAAGGACAGCGAGTTGCGATGCCAAAATACATGGAATGATCAAAGCGGCACTAGTTGCACCTGGAACCCGAAAGCGGGCTGTGCTGTGTCGGCATAGTCTCCCGAAGCTGAGAACTGACCTCTCGCCCAAGGGGTATCTTGCATGATGCCTACGGTTACGAATATCCGGTCCAACATGTATGCAGATAAGTGAGGACCCCAGGGTTCTGTCGCTCGCGCACCGGACTGCTTGGGCACTCAAGGATCTCATCCCTGCTCGTGGGCACCTGCACTTCCGGAAAGGCTCGACTGGCAAGTTGCACAGGTGACCTGGGATGTCATAAGTTGGGGGTACTTGGAGAGCTAGGTCTAGGTGACACAAAAAAAACTCAACCCGGCTCCAGAGAATACAGTACCGAGAGGCCGCATCTACAAGGCTTACAAAGGCTTTAGCCCTAGCAGCACAGCAAGCCTTGGAACTCGTCGGGATTCAAGCACCCCCGTCTCCAAAACCCGAATCATGCTGTGAAACATGAAATTGTACATTCGACTCACTCTCTGCTAGAAACGAAGCCCGGGCAGGTGAAGTCGGAGTACCTCGAAGCTTTGAGAGGTTATCTTCAGGACATCTGGCTTTGCTGACTTGCGTATGAAAGGCTTTGACGTGATGTTTGCATCTTTCGACCGCCATTTCCGGAAATCAGAACCCCAAGCTCCATGTCCTTATGCTACCTGAGGTTTGAAGCTTTTGGGGGCTCCAGGTTCAGGACGACCTAGGGGTGATGACATGCCAAGCAGCAGCAGGCTTTTCTTTGTGATGTCTAAGAACTGTACCCGAGCAGGTTACGAACGAATATCTTTGCACGCTGTGTTCGAGACCATGGAGCCAAGGCCACGTTGAAAACAGGCACCCAGATTGGATATTCCTATACTCCCCAAGCAGTAAAGTTCTTGGACGCGGCTGAAGATCTGGGGCCCGAATTTCCCAGACCTGATACATCCAGGAAATCCAGGTTGAGAAGACGCTGGTGGCTGCAGCAGATGGCCTTGGTGTTGCCCCTGACAAGCGCGGGACGTTCGACAAGGTGGCAGCTGCTGGAGGTTCTGAGGTTGCGGGTTTGGGCAGGGTTTCGTCGAGTCCCAACTCATCCCTACCACCAATGCTCGAAGGCATGCTCATTCTGGTCTGTAATCAAGTGCAGGAACCTGTCATTGCGAAGATGGCCTTTCCATTTTCCCAATCCGTGTCTGGGATTGGGACTTCCGAGTGAGTTTGGAAGTATCATCATGCTGATGAGTGCAAAAGACCTGCGGGCAAGAAACGGAGACAGGTAGGGCTAATATCGCATGCGCATACAAACATAGACGTGATTTGCATGCACATATTTTCGTCTGAATGTACCTGTACGTGTTCGGACAGTCGCGAGTATCTTAGGAGGCGTGAGTGAAAGAGACAGAGAGAGAGAGAGAGAGAGAGAGAGAGGGAGAGAGCAGCTACCCTCTTGCCCATAACCCTGCAGAAAGAAAGAGGGAGAGAGGCAGAGAGAGAAAGCGAGAGACAAACGAGGAACGCGAGAGAGACGAGACAGAGAGGCAACGAACAACAAACACAACCAGACAGACACACGGACAGACAGACAGCCAGACAGACTTCAGACAGAGACAGAGACAGACAGACGGACGGACAGACAGACAGACAGAGCGGCAGACAGACGGACACACGGACACAGACACCCGGATTAGTCTAATTTGTCGAAGTCTTGTCGTTGTGCCATTGAATCCTTGGCTCTGCTGCAGGGGAGAGCGTTCAAGAGTCTACGCCCAAGGCACCAACATCTCAAGGGCCGAATCGGAAAAACAAACCCCAAGGCCCGACAAACCCGAACTTCCAAATCGCGTCAATGTGGAATTCCTTGGCTCCAACCCTGAGATCCCGTGCAGCCTCGATCCCCAAATCGAAGCGAGTTCGCCCTCGGTCTTTGACACCAACCGAAGCTTTCCAATCTTGATTCCTAGAGACTATTTCATCCAGACTCGGCACCTTGAAGCAGCCTGGCAGCTGGCACTCAGATGGCCATCGCCTCCATCACCGAGGCACTGGCAGAGAAGCACCGCTCACTCGAGGAGCGACGGTCGGACTCGAATTCTGGACGCTCCTGTGTTTCAAGGACGAGTCGATGTTGACCGTCTTGTTTCGCATGTATGCATGTGTGTGTATACATATATGTATATACATATATATGTGTGTGTGTGTTGTCTGTGTCTGTGTCTGTGTATGCATGTATGTATGTATGCATGTACAGGCTCACAGCGACTTGGGGCTCGCCCTTCTTGTGGTGTGCGTGTTCATTCGGGGATCCTTCGGCTGGGCTCCTCCACTTGTGTCCTCCTGCCGCCATGGACAAGTACAGGTGATGCACAGGTGCCAAGATGGCAATCTCATGTGCACCAGTCCTTGCAACAGGCACGTTCACATTTCTGTTTATGGGGGTCTGCAGGCTTCCTGCACACTCAGAGGTCAGCTGCTCGTGTCTGCTCTCCAGGTGGCTCTGCACTCTTGATGGGTATCACACTGACTCAGGTTCGTGGAAGGCTGCACATGGGCCCTGGAAGTTAAGCGTGTTTCGACGCTGTGTTAACCCGTTTCATCACAGCTCGATGGGAGGAGATCCTTGCAGCACGAGCACCTGCTGAGAAGGAGGCACCGGTTACGGTGAAAGGGCATAGTTCTGTCCCGGTTGTTCTAGGTCTAGGCGCCCAAACAGTTCAGGCCCACTATCAGGCTTAAGTCGTTGGATTATGATTAAGATCCCCGTCCCACAGGAACATTGTCATGCCGCATCTATTGCTCCGTTCATGTGGCCCTGGTTCCTGTCGCCAGCAAAGACGACGCCACCAAGTCTCGAAATAGAGTTCCTCATACACCCTAGAGCCACAATGCCGAACAGTTGTTGGCCATGCTTCATCCGGCTGACGACAGTCCAACAACATGGCCCGAAAGTTAAAGGTCTAGGTTGTGGAGCTTGATGTTGAGAGTTGTTGTGGCTGCTTGGTTTTCGCTTTTTGCTCGGGTTCCTTTGTCGACCTTCCTGGTTCAAGAAAACCTAGGCGCTGATTTGGGAATGTCGGACGGACTGTAAACTCTAATTGCAAGGCCCCGGTTTTACCTTTCCCGGAGGGTCCAATTGACATTGTTGAGAGTGGTGACAGGGAAGGCCCAATCTTTTCGGGATGCAGAAGACACCGAGAAAGCCGTTCTGAGTATAAGGTGAAAGTACGCTGAATCCAAGACCTAAAACACTTCAAGCTCAATGCCTCGGCCCGAAGAGCGCCCTACAGGCACGAGCCGAGCTTCTCGGCCTGTGGGTGCTGAGCTGAGAGGGTCGAGCCCAGTATAAGCATCAAACATCCACCAGCATCGCTGGAGTTCAGGATTGTAGACTTTGCACTTGTTCGAAGAAACGTGCAGCCATCGCAAAGTAGCCAGGGCGTGTCAGTTCAGTACTCTGCAAGTATGATATGAACCGTATTTTGTCTGGTTCAAGGAGGAGATTCAGAAGAAGTTTGAGGCTGTGGGAGTGTTGTTTGACAAAGCTGTGACGGTTGTATCGGAAGTACTGAAATTCCTTGATTTCAACACATACACAGAAAGAAGCGGGGTCTCGAATTCGGTGTGGCTTTCGTTCTCTGGGCCGGGCTTTCCTGGCCTTCTTTCGTGTTATTATTATTGAGCCGAGTGTTGGAAGGGGTTCGAGTTCACCGTTCAGGCACGGAGGTGACAAGTTGCCCAACAGGGCGAACCTTAAATGCATGCTCCGCAAAGCGGCAGCTTTGGATTGCAAGGACCGGCACACTAGCAACAGTTGCACTTATCAGTATCTATGCATCAGTACCCTGCACTAATGCGATCGTGGATGATTCCTGTCCGAGGTTTCCAAGCTTTGGTGCCTTGAATCCAGCAAACCTTTTGAAGCGCCTTGTAGTGGCATCAGGCATTGACCGACGTTTGTCGAGAGAAGGCGACCTGGCCGGATTCTGCCGTTTTGCATTCCACGCACTGGAGGTTGTGTAGTTAGTGCATTGGGGTGTTGTGGCTGATAAGGATTCTGAGTCTGGAGTTTCGACTTGACTTTAGGCTTGGGATTACCATGCAGCCCCAGTGACTGCGCATGAGGAACCTGAGGAACCGTGCATTACATGCACGCCAGACTATTCTAGCATACTGGCCCGATAGTGCTATTTTTGTTGTTTGTGTGTGTGTGTGCGGTGGACGGGTTGCTTTTTGTTTTGTGTGTGTGTGTGTGGTTCTGTTTGTGTTTGTCTGCTTGTTTGTTTCAGCTTTTCCAGAACAAGGGCATCGCAGTAACGCTTCAGGACCGAAGACTTACCTCCTTGTCGCAACCGGATTTTTTCAGCCTTCTGAGCTCAGTATATTCTGAGAAACGTTCTGCGCCCGATACCAGGACAGATTCCCCTACAGGTATTGCGTTTCGATTTGTGAGTCCAGCTTTAGATCTGCAGTCGTGGCTTGGGAAGGAAGGCTCGGGGTAACTGCCAAAGCAGAGGGTCCTGTCAATGGATGTCCATGTCGCGAGTTCAATTGAAGACTGTTCGGCATACACAACAGTGGCTACAGTTGTGCGAAACGGAATCGACCTGCAATTAGGTCATGGATCTCCGTCCGAAACTCCACTCAATTCCAGACATCTTTCTCTCCAAGCTCGTCTCAAGTATAGAGTGAAGGAGTGTTGAAATCCTGTTTTCCAACCGAGGAATCAAGAGGAGTCTATGTTACTAGAAGGAACTCCGAAGAACCAGAAACTCAGAACACTACCCTGTGCACTCCAATTCTGCAGGCAGAAGCTGCCGAAGCTGAACACACGAAGGTTGAGGTGGGTGTCGCTGTCGAGACAGCAGAAGCTTGCATGGGCATAGTTCGATCAACATATGATATATTTGATATTGAAGTGTACTTATACGAACTGTTGCAGTAGTGCGCTCCCTGGGTTTGTTTGCTGTCAGCTCTACAACTGGGACGAATGCTGCTCCTGTTGTGTAATTAGCATGTACTGCAACTGCTACTACTATGGTAGGGGCGCTAGCGGTGCCGTGATAAATGGCTGCTCCGCCGCCGCCACAGCTACCACCATCAACCCGCCACCACTTCTACGAGTGCTGCGACGATGGCGTGTTAGTGATGGTGGCAAGGCACCTTGAGGTTTCCGGGTTTTGGACTGAAAGTTTGTGTGTGGTGTGGCAGACTTGAGGCATGCGCCTCCGTTGCTTGCGTTGTAGATACTGGCAGTTACTGCGAACATGAACTCAGATCCTGGTGACAACATCATGCCTGAACTTTATCGGCGGAAGCAGCTTTCGTCCTGTCACACCTCGAATACCAGATCCCACCGCGGATCATTGGTCTTAGCTACCGCGGCTCGCGGCCTGTCGTGACAGACACAGCTTTCGGGGGGCTCGGACTCCTAAATGAGTGGTTGCATCTACATCGTAAGCTATCGCAAGCCGGCCGGCTGCGCATGCCCTGCGCAGCGCAGGATGAAGTGAAGGCCGCGAAAGCCGTCATGAGAGCCCTCCGGCAACGGGTCCTCCCCCTGCCCTGCTCACACTCGGCGTGTGTGCAGGTTGGAGACTCTTGGGATGTTTCGGATGGTGGCCGCCAGCTTTCGAGTGGTAGAAGCAAACGTCATCGCTATCTCAGTCAACATTTCTTCTATGTGCACACCATCTTCCAGAGCTGTGAAGCAAGGTTGTTGGCTGCTACATGTAACACAAATGCTAGCAGGGAATCAAGGGCCAGCATGGCAATGTTCAAGTTTTTTTTTTTGGGGGGGGGTCATGACAACTGTGAGCAAGCAACAGCAACAACAACGGCATCGGCAGCAGCATTAGTTCTTTTGTTTAGCATTCTTGTTATTTCTAAAATTTATAACTGCTGCCTTTTAACTGCTGCCGTTCTTGCTGTTATTGTTGTTGTTGTTTACTAGCCTTGGTACTACTATTGTAGGGATGAGTATGATGATTACTATTACTATATTGTTACTATCATTACTATTACTATCCGTAGTAG